CGACATTATATACACTTCCAGTGACTGGGTGGAGGGAGAGCCGCAGGCTCCCCTCACCATAATACTTTTGGTAGGAAATTATGGTGCTTAAAATTACTACTGGGTACCTTCTAAGTCATGTTTGCATATTCTTTTTAAAAATTGAGATATAATTCGTACACCACAAAATTCATCCTTTTACACTGCAATTTCATGGTTCACAGTATATTCACAAAGTTGTGTGAGCTCTAAGCCACTTTTAAGTTATAACTCGGCCCACGTTTATGGGGCGACCACTATAGATTCTCCTTTGAAGTGTGTATTTATTTTTGTAAAAAAAAATTATTGTTTTTCTTTGCCTGACATTCAGTCCTCCTTCTAGTAAACACCCTGAAATTCATTTGTGGTACTGTTCTTCTTTCATTCACACACCATGTGGTTTGGATGTGGTCCACAGGGTGACCTGGGAACCCAACCCACGGGCAATGACAATACTTTATCTCCCTATCCAATGAGAGTAGTTCTTGATGGACCAAGATCAATACTAATTTAAAATAGACCATTTGTTCCAATGGGTACAGTCTCTGAAATTATTTTGAACTGTGGGGAAAGAGCTGTACTCCTTTCACTGGAGTTATTTATGTGATAGGGCTTACAACTGGAGATTCTGCTTCTGTTTGGAGAGAGCCAAGCTGTGAATAAAGCCAACAGACATCACTATAAACCTGAGAAGTAGAGACATGTTTCTTCCTCTACTGTTGATACTCTTCTAGTCAGTCGTGCATTAATAGTCTTTTTCTTTAAGCTAGACAAAAGGTACCCCTTTTTCTTAAGACAAGATGAATTGGGATTCTCGCACTCCCAACTGAAATATTCATGAAAAATATAGTATTATTAATCTTATTTTGAATATGGCAGGAGTGAGGCTCAGAGAAGTCGATGACTTGCAAAATAAACTAGAGACACAGCGCAGAACTTTCAGTCAAATGTTCTCTGACTCTATGTCCAGTTAGTTCTCTTGCCTCTGCACTAGGTTGCTTCTCCCTTAATTTCAGGAAATTGCCACAGGGGTGGTCTTCTTATTTTATTAACGCTCTTCTTATTTTTCATTGATAAGTACCTTAACAACAAAGGGTGACATTTTGAAACAGAATATTCTTCAATAGAATCTTCAAATATAGTAAGACACTCTTCTTGGTAGTAAAAAGTGAGAATAAAATTCCCATCATCGAATTTCATTTGATATCATATAACATATAATAATAAGCAAACACTAGAGCAACAGCCTCATTCTAGTAACAATGCTTCCACAGCTACAAGTCAACAAATCACTAAACACTCCTATTTTTCAATGTCTACCAATTTGTGTATTCCATGCCCCTCCAAATCCTATGCAAGAGCAGCAGAATTCTGGTTTGAAAGACTGTGCACTCCAAGTGGTAATCCCTTGCTTGCAAGAAACACATTTACAGTTTTTATATAGATATTGAGTGATGGCCTCTTACTTCCAACAAAGGGAAAATATATTCACATTTCACATAATCTAGAAATTTTGACAATTGACAAGGTTACCAACTGAAATGCAAATTAAGTGCACACATCTGCAGAAAAATGAACCAAATATTAACATCAGAAATTCTTCTTAGGTTGCTAGAAAACTCACCTTTTATAAAGGAGGCTAAGGCAACTTTATTCATTATCTGTTGGGTTGTATTGGTGAAAGGTGTGTATGCAATAGTAAACCAAGGGCCACTAAATGAATCTACCCGTCCCAGGTCCGTGGCAGGCAGTGAAGAAAAATCATTAACTTCATGACTATTGGGATATAGGTACAGAAAAAGCAGCAGGAGCAGTGAGCTCAACCATTCCTACACAATCCAAGAGAGAGAATAAAAAAACAATTATGACTTCAAATTAGTCGTCCACAGTCATTTGGTCATATGGTTTGTCTCATTCACTTTTCGAATTTCAATATATCTCACACTATGAACCATTTAAAATATGTACAGTACAAAATTCAGCAGTCTGGTAATTCCAATGAGCTCTTAAGGAATTCAAATTGATTGATTCACAGCACAGTCTAAAGCATGCACTGATCATAAAAACATGAGAGGCAAGAATTGCAAGCTGTTATAAATTATTATCAGCTGGTATTACTGTGGCGACCTACTCATGCTGTACAGGAATACCTCGTTTTATGGTGCTTTGTTTCATTGTGCTTCTCAGATGGTGCATTTTCTTTTTTCTTTTTCTTTCTTTTTTCTTTTTCTTTTTTTTACAAATTGAAGGCAAAACCCTTCACCAGCAAAAAAATTATGACTCATTTTATTGTGATACTCACTTTATTACAGAGGCCTGGAACTGAACCCACAGTACCTCCAAGGTATTGTATTTGATTCTGCTAAAAGCCTGTGTCAGAAGAGTTTCAAGGCACTGCTCACTTAGTAGTAATATATTGATTATATGCCAAGATTCTGGTATTGGAAACTCAACAGAATGCAGATGACCTGAGAAACACTGTCTTGGTTAGTTATCAACTCTATTCACTTGAAAATTTCCAATAAGCAGTTATTCTATTTCCTAAATGCATGACTTTTAGGATTTGCAATATAGTAAAATTCTAATTTAGTTAAAAATGATACTTAGCTATACCTATCTGATTTTTAAACATACCAAAGTTGAACCAGGATTTTTGTTATGTGGCAAGATTATATGGGCTAATGCTAATTTTCTTCTTGGCACTAAGTACATTTCCAAATTTTCTACTATTTTTGAAGAGAATGGTTTATTTTAAAAAAGAGAGATTCAAAAGAGAAAATGCCAGTTATTTATTCCTGTGGGTTGATTTGTTTACCATATCTTCGGGATACCAGTATCTTAACCCAACTAGTTATACATGGGAACGCTAGTAAAAAGTGTGACCACTGACTTTTACAACATTGGATTTTCTATTGCTGACCAACTTCAGGGCTTTCAGACCTCAAATTACAGGCCTGTGTTAATTGAAATGTCTTCAGACAGATTTGTGNTCAATAATCAATGTACATTTTTGAAATGTGTTCATTGGCCTGCAGACATCACTACTGCAGATAGGGATTTAAAAATTTGCTGTACTAACTAACATCTTTTCTCACATATGGCTTGTGACATAATTGCAGTAGAAAGTAGCGAAACTCAATAGCTGGAAAGCTACCTGTATGGTCCCTGTATTCCTTCGTTGTTGGAATTCTGCGTCCCAGCATGAATTTCAAATGATATGAGAACGTATTAGTAAAGATGACTCTTACTATTTCTCCAGCATAATATGTCGTTAATTGTTGAATACTTTCTTCATCAGGGAGTCCCTTGATTTCTATATCTGCCATCACAAGAAGGGAATATTATTGTCAGTAAATTACTAGGAGACTAGCTTCAGGTTTCATGTTCAATTGTTTGTACTAAGAGTTCTTCATGGAAATAAAATGAAATCAAGTTTTAATTTGGAGTAAGTCAGGCCGAGTAAAAGTTGGGGAGAGATATTTCGTAAGGTTTATCCAGATAGTGTACAACCAGAAGGCATACATTAAAGTTAGTTATTTTCGTATGTTGTAATTATTGAACCAATTTCAATTACATATATTATTATACTGAGACAGAAAAACAGGGATAGGACCGCGGTGGAGGGCATTAGGACCCAGACAGTCTCAACATGAGATGGGAAAATTGTGGGCAATGGACCTCAAGGCCAGAGAGAACAGTAACTACAGTAACTAACAGAAAAAATGCAGTAAAGGGACCTGGACGGGAGGGGCTGCTGCAGAGGACTGCAGAGTCAGCCAAGATACCAGCCCAGGTGCAGAAAGGGGAGCGGGGTGGGAGCCCAACCAGCCCCTGGTAAACAACTTAAAAATTACAGATCCAAGGACATACAGTCTCCAGCTCAGCTTAATCTGCGGGGCATTCTATTCAGAATGCCCCCCTCTTCAAAGAGCTGTACTCTTGTGCTTTTTGCTTTTGCAATAAAGCTGTATACTGCTTCAATTTGCCTCTTGCGGTCCACGTTCTTATTCTTCCAGTACATGAGGCTACGAACTCCAGGCACCAGACACCAAGATCATACATCAATACCAAATAAATTAAACTATTCACAGAAGAATTGGCATTACAATAAATCTAAAATGGTAGTGTGTGTGTGTATTTATATCATATATATTTATATCATATATATATTCAAATCACAATTAGGTACTGGTTATATTAGGTGGCAATAACTAACTTCATTTTCCTTTGACAACTCTCATAGTATGATTAATATGCTGAAAAATAAGAGTGAATTGAAAAGTTAAAA